CGGGGAGGCGCGCCACTGGCTCACGCAGTTCCAGACCTGCCACCACTCCGCAGACAAGCCCTTCGCTGTCATCGAGGTGAACGGAGCTAGGCATTGGCCATGTCACAGCTAGGGGATGGGGGTTGTGTGGCGACATGTCGCGGGGGTTGTGTGGCAAGCCCGAATAAGTGTTCTGGACTGGAGGAGGCTACGAGCTCTTCAAAAAGAGTCGCGCCCCACCCGAGTGAGGAGCCTGGGGGCCTTAACCCGCCAAGTATGATGCGCTGGAGAAGGACTCCCACCATGGGCGCAGTTAGGGACTCAAATGGCAATTGAGGAACCAGGACTGGAGCCGCCTGCGTCACCCCTCCCCCCAAGGTGTCCTAGAGTCCAAGGCCGCAGGGAGGAGCGGAGGGAGGCACACTAGTGTGAGATAAGGGGATGGCAAGACCCAACGGGGCAAAGGGCGGAGCAGGTGTGTGCCAGTGGCCAGAAATGGAGCCTGACAGCTCCTGAGCAGGGTAGGGGCACCGAGAGGGCGCTGAGGCCAGGCTGTAGGAGCAAGCGGGTGCAGCAGGAGTCAGGGCCAGTGTTGCGCATCCTGAACGCCCACTCCTCCACAGGTGGACGAGGAAGTGCTCAAATGCAAGCGAGGTGTATCCAGCCTGGCCTTCGCCTTGGCCTTCCTGCAGCGCATGGACATGAAGCCTCTGGTGGTCCTAGGGCTGCCAGTTCCCACGGCGCCCTCGGGCTGTCTTTCCTTCTGGGAGGCCAAGGCACAGCTTGCCCAGAGCTGCAAGGTGCTGGTGGACGCACTGCGGCACAACGCCGCAATGGCTGTGCCTTTTTTTGGCGGCGGATCCGTGCTGAGCGCGGCTGAGCCAGCCCCCCATGCCAAGTTAGTGCTGGTCCAGCCTGCCTGGGAGTCCTCGGGTGGCGCGACTCTGCCAGCCCTGCCCCAGCCCGGAGGGCCTGGAGGCGGCCCTCTTGAACACTGCGTCTGACCCACAGCTATGGCGGCATCGTCTCTGTGGAGACCGACCTGCTCCAGTGGTGCCTGGAATCGGACAGCATTCCCATCTTGTGCCCCATTGGGGAGACGGCCGCGCGCCGCTCTGTGCTCCTTGACTCGCTGGAGGTGACCGCAGCACTGGCTAAGGAGCTGCAACCCACCAAAATCATCTTCCTCAACACTACAGGGGGCCTGCATGACAGCAGTCACAAGGTGTGTCCCCTCATGCCCAGACCCCACCACACGCGACTCCGGGCCTAGCAAAACCCCTTGCGCTCCCGTCACGCCTCCCAGGCAGCCTCAGAGTCACTCTCAAGTCGGGTGGGTTGGGGATGGAATGTCAGGGAGGGGTTCAGCCCGTGGTGCCCAGATCTGAGCCCTCCCTGGCCGAGAACTCCGGGAGGCTGTAAGGGTAAAGGGGTCAGCGAGTAGAGAAGTCCGTGGGGCAGGGTGGTCCATGGCCGACTGCGGGCCGGAAGCTCACCCCCGAGTCCCGGACTCAGGTCGTGAGCAACGTGAACCTGCCGGCTGATCTGGACCTGGTGAGCAACGCTGAGTGGGTGAGCACAAAAGAACGGCAGCAGATTCGGCTCATCGTGGACGTGCTCAGCCGCCTGCCTCACTATTCCTCGGCCGCCATCACCGATGCCAGCACACTGCTCACTGAGCTCTTCAGCAACAAGGGTGAGGGTCTCAGGCTGGGTTCCGGGATTGAGCACCAGCCGCGCCAGGGTGGGGTGAGAAGGAGAAACACCCTCCCCTTCAGTAAGGAGGCCGTAAAGGGACGCCACAGCAAAGGCTTCCTGCTCTTGCGGAACTTGGCGGAGGTGAGCAAAGAGGTGGACAAACTGGGCTAGAACTTGGATGGAACTAGACAGATAGGCGTAGCTTGGGGAGGGAAGGAACCATGGAGGGCGGGGCTTGGGGTCAGAACGATGTGGACTGGAGAGGGCTAGAAGAAGTGGGCGGGACCAAGGGTGGGGAGGTCAAGGTATGGGGAGACTGGCAGGACTAGAAAGTACGTGGGACTGCAGGCGGTGGGCTGAACTTGAAGGACAAACTGCCTGGGAAATGCATCTCCCTGGGTGAAAATCACATTCAAAATCGATGCAGACCACAGAAAGCATTTCATTGGGGACATCTCCCAAAGAGGTAATTGTCCCACCAGCCCCCGTCCTATCTGGAACACCCACCAGGACCAAACGGAGGAGTGGACGGGACCTGGCTCTCGGGAACTAAACTAATCCTTCCTTCTCCGTCCCAACCCCAGGGTCTGGGACACTGTTCAAGAATGCAGAGCGGATGCTGCGACTGTGCAGCCTGGACAGCCTGGACCAGGGCCGCCTGGTGAACCTGATCAACGCCAGCTTCGGCAAGAAGCTCCGCGACGACTACTTGGCCTCGCTGCGCCCGCGGCTGCACGCGGTCTACGTCTCTGAGGGGTGAGCCTGCGGGCGCGAGGGCAGGGACCAAGGAGCAGAGCCAGGCAGCTTCGGGCCAAGGAGAGGTCCCTGCCTGACTCTCCTCCCCTGCACCAGGTACAATGCTGCCGCCATTCTGACCACGGAGCCCGTGCTGGGGGGCACCCCATATCTGGACAAGTTTGTGGTGAGCTCCAGCCGTCAGGGCCAAGGCTCCGGCCAGATGCTGTGGGAGTGCCTGCGGCAGGACCTGCAGACGCTTTTCTGGCGCTCCCGCGTCACTAACCCCATCAATCCCTGGTAGGTCCCGCCCCTCCCAGCTCTTGGCTGGGCCCCGCCCTCCCTCTCCCCTTCAGCCCTCACCAGCTACAACTTCAAAGGTCCACCAGCCAGGAAGGCGGGGTGTCCCATTCTTTCACGTTCTGACCCCAAGCTGCCTTCCCCAGGGAAAGGCCCCACCCAGTGTGGCCCCACGTTCCCCAGGGAACATACCAAACACGGAGCCTGAGATTTTTTTTCAGAGACAGACATTTAACCCCGCTCAGTCCTGTGACAGTGGATTCCTTGAAGCAAGTGACACCCCCCCCCCAACTCTCCTAGGGTCAGGAGAAATCCTAACCTTTCAGGCTCTATTCCAGGCCCACTGCATCTCCCGCAGAATTCCCGCCCCCCCTTTGCTTCAGAAGCTATCTCTTCACTCCCCACTACCCTGTGGGTACCAAGTGGTGAGCAAGAACCTCTTCTCTAGCTGCACAGTGTGTGAAGAGAACAAGGGCTGTCTTCATTCTAACCATAGCTGTGTGACTGGCAAGTTACCTAACTTCTCTGAGCCTTTGCTGCTTCTCCCTAAAAGCATAACACTATCAGGCTCTTGACTGCTACTGTGATCATAAATTCAGATAACAGACAACAGGTCCTAGCAGGGTGTCTAGCATGTAGTAAGTCCTCAATAAATGAACCAGTGAGTAGTGAGCACTGGCTCAGCCCTAAAATCTCCCCGTAATACACACACCAGGTACTTCAAGCACAGCGATGGCAGCTTCTCCAACAAGCAGTGGATCTTCTTCTGGTTTGGCTTGGCTGATATCCGAGACTCCTATGAGCTGGTCAACCATGCCAAGGGACTGCCAGACTCCTTCTGCAAGCCGGCTTCTGACCCGGGCAGCTGACCCTCACCACCAGCCCTGCAGGCCCTGGGATAGCCAGGGTTGACCAAAAGCCATGTCTGCTGGAGATGATCCCAGGCAGCCATAGGTTTGTTGGCTGAGTGATCTGCAGAGGAGGAAGCAGCCCCTACTCTACTCTGCCCAGAGTGGGGGCCGAAGTGGGACAAGCACAGGAAGGAGAAGGACCCAAGACCCCCACATACTCCAAAGCCAAAACCACATGGCCTTCAATTTTCAGTCTAGGGATTTGGGGGAGGGGGACTTTCCTTTGAGGGCTCTACTCAGGACTAACCTTAAGAGTGGGCATTTCTGTGGCCTCTGTGCTGTTTTGAGGCTCCCTTGCCCAAAATATCACCCTCCCATCTGCCTAATATTCCACCACTCATTTTAATTCCTTTGGGTCTTACAACTTTTCAGGAGGCCTTGATTAAAATGCAAATTCTTGTCTGAGAGTCAGCTCACACTTGAAAGAAAAGGAGCAGTGGCCCTCTGGGAGCAAGATCTTCAGGGTTGGGGAACCAAGGGATTCCTAGAGGGGACAGAGGAGCTAAATGAGATGAAGGGCCCCCAGACTGAATGCTGCCACCATCTCCCTCACTGCAGCCCCCAAAGGGACTTCCCTACATCCTCCATTCCACAGACCAGACCAACAGCAGCCCCAGCTCCCTTCCAGGCGGGGCTCAGAACCATGCCCAGACTTGGGTCTTTCCCCCTAGACCCCCCATTAGAGGTTGTGTCTCCATCTTTGTAGGAGCAGAACACCTCAGAAATCCAAAGCTGGAGGTTTCAGTCAACATTTTTGACCCCGACGATGTGCCAAGCACCAATCTGGCTGCATGGACTACTGTCAGGAGGTACATAGACTAGTAGTAGGCAGAGGGTCAATTAAGAGGTCACTATGGCACACCAGGGGCTGGGAGAGAACCAAATCCCAAGAGCTGCCTCTGCCTTCCCTCAGGAGAGGGGTGATATCCAGTACACTTGGGCATGGTCATTAGACAGACCTGACCTGGAATCCAGCTCTGGCTGATGGGCTCTGTGGCTTGAGCCAAGCTGCTTACCCTCTTTGAGCCTCCGTTTCCTCATCTGTAAAATGTAAAATCCTCATAGTGAATACTTAATATTAGTTCTCCCCCCCTCGTGGCCCTCACCAAAGATTTCTTCCAAAACAGCTGGACCAAATGGAGAGGGGGAAAAAAAGCTACAAGAGGGATTGAAGTGAGAGGTCAAAAACATATACTAAAGGGAGGATTAGGAGATTCTTAAGAAGAGAGCTAAAGGACTGTGGGAACTCTCAGAACAGCGGAAAGATCACAGGAGGACTAAGGTGGAGCTTAACTAGACATGATCTTTCAAGAAACCCAAAATCAATCCTAGCCCATGGCAAAGTGCCCCGTGGGGAAGACAGAGAGTAAAGCCAAATGTCTATATAAAATGTTTATTTTTGGAGGACTGTGTGGTCTAGTGTTTGGGAGGGACTCACCACCACCAGGCCAGCCATGGAGCTGAAAACAGAAGGCAGGAGGCAGAAAGTTGGCCACTGCCTGCCCCACCCTTACACACCCGAGTAGACTAGGGCCTGCTCTGCTCTCAAGGTGGGTGACAGCTAGTACTATTTCTGCCCCTGGCATACCCTGAGAACCCACATGGCTTCTGTGGAGCCCAACCTCTCTGCTCCTCCTGGGCTTGATCCGTGTGTCAACATGCACACTCACGCTGTCTCTGAAAAGCACTACAGAACTCAGCTGCATCCACCAGATTCAAAAAAATTTTCACTTTTGCTCACTTCCAGTTCTTGATCTTCCTTCCTCTGTCTCCCACTCTCAGTACCCCCACCCTAGCCCTGTCTTACTCCCTTCTCTGGGACAGGAGACCTAGGGGAGCAGCTGGCCTCAGCACTCCTCCTAACAAAGGAAAAAAAACTTGTAAGGCATTGTCATCAGGGCTCCCACCAACCTCAAGGGCTGAGCCCAGGAACTGGGGAACGCACTGGCCTCTTACCAATCCACACACACAAACAGCAAAGGATCAATCAAACAAACAGACCAAAAAGATAAATAAACATAACTGGGCCAGCAAGGAGGAAGGTAGGGTGGCCCTCAGTGGCTCCCTATACCCATCTCAGCCTTTCGTTGTGCAAATCAACCATCAGTGGCCAGGATAACAGCAGCCCCAAAGATGCCCACACTCTCGCCAAGGAGCTTCATTTGGTTCCAGAACTCAACGCGCCGTGTGTTGTGCCAGTAGACAACATTGCCATCAATGAGCAGCATGACCGGGGGCAGCAGTACAGCCAGGATCTGGGCAGCCAGAGTCACGTAGTAGCCTGACAGGAAGGCCAGGGCCAGGACGCCATACAGCACGAAGAACAGCTGGATCATGAGCTCCCCTCCTGGGAGGTGGTTCAGATATGCCAGCCGGTCCTCCTTGCTGTGCTGCAGTGAGTAGGCCTAGAGACACACCATCCTGTAAGACTCTCCAACAGGCTGAGAAGTCTGTCAGGGGAAGGCCACCCCTGAGATGGCACCTGCAAGTCAGCCTCTGCAAGCTGGGCTTCTGGCTTCCCTCTCAGACTTGGGGCTCTCTAAAAGTATGACCTGCATTTCCCCTGCAGACTAGGGAGCTCCATGAAGTTAGAGCCTATGTCTCTCTTCACCCTGTGGGCTCAGAAAGGAGGTATGTCTCCACAGTCAAGACTGGGGCTCTCACCTCTCAACCCAGAGCTCTGCACAGGGGGTATGGTGCCCAGTAACTAAGATGAAGCCAAGTAGCCTGGGGCCTGTCCACGTCCCCATCCACACTGGCCTCCCCTAAGGGCACTAGGGAGGACTGTAATTGGCTATCCCAGACAGACCCCATCAGCTCTAAGTGGCAGAGTCCAAGCTAGGACCTGAACCCCACCAAACCTCTTTGTCTCCTCTCCCAGTCCTCTGGGAGCTGGAGGCATGAGAGGACCAGTCTATCTTGTTCTCCTGGCTCTCAATATTGGGATTGAATGGCCAATCTAAACTTTTCTCTCCCTGGTGGCAATAATATTTGAAGAAGGGACTCTTGGCCAGATCTCAGGCATTTGGAGGGCCTCTGAGGCCCAGGAGCTGGCAGGGGCAATTCCCAGGGCCAGGCCATCAGGACCTACATGCAAGGCCTTATTCTGCCCACCTCCCTGGATTCTGCCAGGCAGAGGCTCACATTTCACTCCCACTCAAGCACCTCCAGCCAACAGTCCCCCAACCTACCACGCAGATGAGGTAGATGCCCAGGAAGACTTGACCGGTGGACTGGAGGGAACGGCTGCGGGGTTTCCGTCGGTAGAGCTCTCCAGCGCCGCTGGCCAGCACAAGAAAGCCGCCGATGATGGCAACTGTGCGTGAGTACATACGGACCTAGGCCGAGGCGAGGGGACCCCAGTCAGGAACGGCAGCTGCCACATTTCTCCTGGCTGCCCAAAGCACAGAACTGCCCATCTCTACATATTTCCTTCCATCTGATGAACCCTCTTACCATTTCCAAGTGTGGTGGGCAGGTGCAGCAGAGATAGATAATTCTTTTTATCAGAAGTGGCCCCGAGGGGTTAATAAAATTGTCCATGATCCTACAGAAAGTGGCAGAACCCAAATACCAAGTGTTGCCCCCTTCTCACCCCCAGTCTCAAATCCCAATGTTCTTTCTGCTATATAGTATAGTCTGTTCCATAAAAAACCCATTGATCTCTCTGTCCTGTAGCTGTTCACACATCTGCCTCCCCTACTGACAGATAGCCCATTCCTTGAGGGTCGTGCCTTTGTCCAGACTTATCTGCAAGCCTCCCATGCCTGGCACAAGTTCTGGCATTTACAAGCTTAAATGCTGCACTAGGATTAATCAAATTTCATAAAATCAATCGTTGGACCAGGCACTCAAAGGTTCCTTTTGCCCTATGAGATTACTAAACTAATGTTTTAAAGGGTTCTGGGAACCAGGTGACCTGGGTTCTGGTCCCACCTGTAATGCTAACTGTGATGTGACACTGGGTAAGTCTGTTTCCCATCTCTGGACTTCAGTTTCCACATTCTGAAAGGAAGGCTTGTGTGGTCTCTAAACCCCTTCCGTTGTTGTGGTCTGTAATAATCTCCACACTCCTGGAAGTTCGGTTTTCTAGGCTCTGCACTGCACCTGGCTCGCACCACGCATTGCCCAACTTCCCTGAGCATTGGCCTTGGGTTCCCCATCACCCTAGCGAAGTCCCGCTCGGGGCCGCGGCACTCACCTTCAGCCAGTCCCCGTAGTGGACATAACCCCCGATGTAGGCGGCATAGGTGCTAATGGCCAGCTGGAGTGCAGCCCCCAGCGCGAACCAGCGCCGCTTTACTCCGAAGGACATGAAGCTAGCGCACAGCACGGCAGCCCCCATGTCGAAGTACAAGTAGGGCACTGGGATGTCGGGCTTCCTGCAAGCCGGGAGCGGGTAAACGAGGACAGAATGAAGGAGTGTAAGAGTCTTGAGACCCCTTGAGCTCCTGCCAGTTCCACTGCTCCCCAAAAAAGGGGCCCCCTTCTCATGGCCAGGACCCCCGCACTATGCTCGATGCCCACCTTGCTTCAGACCAGAGCCCCTAACATGTCCGAGGTCCCAATTCCTCGTAGTCCAAGGGTCCCAACTTCTGGGCTTCAACTTCTTCCCCACCTCACCGCACCCCTGTTCCTGGGACGCGCCGTATTGCCCCCCACCGCGATGGGCGACCGCGTGGGCCCGCTCACCGGCGCGCCTCGGCCCTCTCGGCGTACAGCATGAGCTGGCTGAAGCAGCCCCAGAAGGGGCAGCGTGTGAGTAACACTGAGCCCAACTGCATGAGCAGCTGCAGCATCCACCGTCGCGAACCCACCTTCGACGCCATCTTGGGGAAGGGCAGTCCGCTGCGGCCTCACCCCCGTCAGGGAAGCCGGCGCCGGGATGCGCTACGCAACTTCCGGCCTCGCGGGTTTTTGTTTCCGCCCCCCCTTCTGTCGGGAAACAAGGCTCTCGCTCTCTAGTTCTGGATTGAAGGTGGTGTTCTAGCTGCCGACTTCATTCTTTCCATCTGCCCATGGAGACTTAAGGGCCCCTCCTTGTAGCTGCAAAATTAAAAACCAGACTAGAGGAAGAACAATGAGTTCAGGACATCAGAAGGCTTGAGCCACAGATGTAATGAAGCGAACTAGTCTTTGAATGCAGCTGGGTAGGCCTGGGCGTCAATCCTAACTCCAACCCTAACTGTGACTTTGGGCATATCGCCTACACTTTCCAAGATTTAACTATGAAATGTCACAGGGTTGTTGTGAGGTTTCATTGTGACAATGTTGGTTCTAGCACATAGTAGAGGTTCAATAAATGATGTATACACACACCCCAGAGGAAATCCCTCTGCTTCTGTTTAAGTTCAAAGTAAGGGGTTTCTGCATTCCTGCATGTCCCACAGAGTGCGACTGCCAAGGGGACATCCCCTCTACACCCAAAACTCCCCTTTGTATTGTAATTACCTACCACTGTGGGAAAACAAATGGGCACAAAATACCCAACTAGATCAGACCAGTCACTAGCCCCTACACAGTACCTCGTCAATCACAGGTGCCAATCAAGTGGTCCCATGCCCTTAGGGGAACAGCGCATTCTAGAGAAAGGGGATAAAAATTCCAAGTCCTGGGAAGTCTGCCTGCTCTTTTTGAACCCTTCCTCCCTTTTTTGAGCCTTTTGAGCATCACCTTTGTGCGTGGCCTTCTCCAAACTCTTTGGAATGTAATTTCTCTTCTAATAATGGACCCTTGAGCCATTCTCTACTGCTCCAGCCTACTTCTACTTCTTTGAAATGTACTATCTTTTCGAATAAAATACTTTCTCAGTACTTTACTCCGGCATCTCGTTCAATTCTTTGCTAGAGTTGCCAAGGACCTGAACTTTGCACCAAGAAGGGCCCACTCTCCAACAACAATCCCACCCCAATTCCCTCTGGTGTTCAGTGTTTTACTGCCCTCTTCCCCACCGGAGTGTGAGAAGGACTAGGGGCCAAATCCCCCTTTCTAGGGCTGAGAAAAATGCTGGCATTGTGTTAGATCAGAGAGGAATGGGGTGGGGGGATCCTAGGCCCTGAGAGATAAACACAGCCATTTGTTCCTCCACCCACCACCATTCCTCCCACCCATCTGAGCAGACAACTGAGCCCCAAAGACTTCTGAGGAACATCCCTTTTATCTCTCCCACAGCTCCATCTGTTCTCCCCAGTCCAGCTGCCTCGACTTCCCTCTGCAACACCTCCTACCTCTCCAAAGAGCTCCCCTGCTCCCCAGCTCCTCTGGGGCCCTGCCTGTACTTGAGCTTGACCATGGCCACAGCCACAGCCACGGTGATTAGCATGGTGTCTGTGATACTCAGCATAGTAGCCATCTCGGTCAGGCAGAGCTGGGCCTTCGCACTGCTCAGCAATGCCCCCACCAGCTGCCCAGGTCGAGCACAAGTCAGGTTGCCAAGATCAGCCACACACAAGTATCACAGATGGTCCAGCTCCTGAAAGCCCAGTGCAGGGCAGTCGCGTACCCAGGGGTTATTGGCCAGCAGCAGCCCACTGTCCAGATGCCTGCCATTACTTTTAACTCGAGGTGCTGTAGCCGGTTGCCTAGAGAGGAGTCCCAATGCCCACAGGGCTGCAAAGGCCTTGGCCCCCAACTTGCTGCAGCTGGTTCCCAGTCAGTGAGAGCCAGTATAGGTGGAAGAGGCCCCTGAGCCCAGCTCAGCCAGCTGGTTGTGGCTCAGGTCAAGCTGGTCCAGGTTCCCCAGGTCCCACAGGCTACAGGGGCCCAGGGTGGCAAGAAGGATGAGAGGTCCAGGCAGAGAGCCCAGGATGGCCGAGAAGTCTGGGGACAGGCGGACCAGCTGGCTGTGACTGAAGTCCAGTTGCTCCAAGAAACCCAGGACCCCCAGTGCTCCACCAGCCAGATCCCACAGGATATTATGAGAAAACAGCAGCACCCCCAGTCCCCACAGGCCCTGGAAGGAGCCACCTGGCAAGTGGCTGAGATTATTGTGGCTCAGCTCCAAGAGCCAGATGCTGTTAGGGAGCCTGGAAGGTAGGCTGAGCAGGCAGAAGCCCGCACAGTTCACCATGCTGCCCGCGGCTGGGCAGGTGCATGGATGGTGCTGGACACACTGATGCCAGGTTTCAGCGTAAGGCAGATGCCACCATTGTGGCCATGGCCACTGTGAGGAAGGAGCGGCCACACCTGCCCCGATCTTGCCCTAGGAGGGGCTGGGGTGAGGATGGCATCAGATCAGCATCACGCTCAGGGATGGTGAGACCTTCGTGCCTCATTCCTCCACTCAGGACCCTGAGCAAGCATGTTAGGGGAGAAAAATAAAAGCAGACACCATTCAAGGGTCTTATCCTTTGCCAGGACCCCCAACCTGGTCTCGAGAAATCTTCCCTCCCTGCCCCAAGATTTTTACCTGCTACCTAGGTTTCCAGAAAGAGCTATCTAAGCCGAGATACCAGCATCCTGATCCCCGACCTCAGCCACCTTTCATTCCCTTATTCGTACTAGGATGAAAAGCGATTAGGGAAGACGGCCTTTTTAATCCTCTGGACCCCTCATTACTCCCTGCACACCCCACCTCACTTATTTTCCACATGGCCCCAGGTGAAACTTTGCCTTCTCCTGACTGCAACAGAGCCCCAATAAGATCCTAGCCTAATTTGGCCACCGAAGTCAAGGCCTCAGGCTGCGGAAGCCCAATGCATTCACCTACATTCCTGGGACCACTTGCTGAGTGCAACCCCAGCCCAGAAATGGCAGTGGGAAGAATTCTCAGCTCTATTTACTTGCCATCCTGGCTTCCAGCCAGAGCCTCACCCTCAAAAGCGATAGAGATCAGCTCTCAGGGAAGCAATGGCCATGAAAGTGGGGATGAGAGACCAGTTGAGGAAATCTCCAAGGCCTTGTGGCCTTATATCCGGGGAGCAGGACCTGCCTTGCCTTTCTAACAGGTCCCTCACCCTTCTCCCTTCTGGAACCCCTCACCCTGCTCTCTCTTATCAGAATGGCAGCTTGAAGACCCCTTGGAATCCACCCTTTTCAGGAAGGAGACAGGTGTCTCCTCTTTCCTTCTATAGACGAGGTATGATCAAATACGGTGAATGTTTAAATTTTTTAAAATGTATTACAGTAAGACACATTGCCATTAATCCCCTTCAAAATACTCCCCTTTGCTTTGAACACATTTATCCCATTTTTATTGCCACTTTCTCTTTTTTTTTTAAAGATTTTTATTGGGGAATTGGGGGAAGGGGAACAGACAAGTTGCTGTCTTTTTGTTCTTCAGTCTAGTTGTGGAGGACGTTGCTTCACTGGCCCAAGTTCGCACCATTATTGCGCTCTTCCCAGGTGAGGCAGATCAGTCACCGGCTTCTGGACGGCCACTCACGCTGGCTGCTGGTTACACATGGTAGCCCATGGCAACCCACCTGCCTTCACTGGTAAGTCACAGAAGCCCAGCTCCAGGTCAAGCTGCCACTCAGCATCTTAGCTGTGGAGGTCAGTGTCACTGGCCCTCATATGTGGGATCCGAACCGTGGCCCTCTGGCGTCCCAAGCCAGCTCTTAACCAACGCACCACTTGGCCAGCCCATCTTGCCACTTTCTGAAGCAGTTCTGAAAGTCTTCTTTCGTGTCTTAAGTTGCACTGTCGTGGCTGCCTTGATGTCCTGAATCAACTCAAAATGTTTACCTTTCATGGTCATTTTGACTTTGAAGAGGAGCCAGAAGTCGCATGGTGCCAGATCTGGTGAATAAGGTGGATGAGGACACACCATTTTTCACAAACTGCCGGACCAGGAACGATGTGTAACACAGAGCCTTTCCGTTGTGATCAAAGAATATGGTGAATGCTGCTGCCGGGTACCATAATACAGAAAGGCAGGGACCTTTAATATGGGAAGCGGTGTGTCAAACCTTAGTAACAGTGTGTGACAAGTTTCAACTTGTTCAGTGCAGTCAGTCAGGTGTGAGCTACGGTTGAGAGGGTGTTTCAAACTGTGACATAAATTATCCTCCATCATGACAACGCTCCGTGTCACACATCACTTCTGGTATATGGCAATTTCTGCCAAATAAAAACATAAAAGTTGTGTCCTCATCCATCCATCTTATTCACCGGATCTGGCACCGTGCAACTTTTAGCTCTTCCCCAAAGTCAAAATGATTCAGGACACTGAGACAGCCATGACAGTGCAACTAAAGACACAAAAGAGGACTTCCAGAACTGCTTCAGAAAGTGGCAAGAGGGCCGGCCGAGTGGCGCGATGGTTAAGAACTGGCTTGGGACACCAGAGGGCCCCGGTTCGGATCCCACATATGAGGGCCAGTGACACTGCCCTCTGCAGCTAAGATGCTGAACAACAGCTCAACCTGGAGCTGGGCTGCCGTGGGTCGCCGGCGACGGCGTGGGCTGCAGCCCCTGTGGCAGTGGGTTGCCATGGGCTACCGTGTGTAGCCAGCAGCCAGCGTGAGCGGCCAGCAGCCGCAGTGAGCGGCCGTCCAGAAGCCGGCGACTGATCTGCCTCACCCTGGAAGAGCGCAATAATGGTGCCAACTTGGGCCAGTGAAGCAACGTCCTCCACAACTAGACTGAAGAACAAAACGACAGCAACTTGTCTGTTCCCCTTCCCCCAATTCCCCAGCACTGTTCCCATCCCCCAATTCCCCAATAAAAAAATAAAAAATAAATAAAAAAAATAAAAGAAAGTGGCAAGAACCATGGAATAAGTATGTTCGAAGTGAGGGGGAGTACTTTGAGGGGATTAATGGTAATGTGTCTTTTACTGTAATATATTTTTTATTTAAACATTCACCGTATTGTTTGATCACACCTCATATACTGCCTGCCTAAGAAATCTGCCATCATCTATACTTCACTTATGTCTTGTCTGAACACAAAGGAAGAGAATGTGCTCTCTTGTTCTCACTAATCCAAAGGTCAAAACACTCCACTCTGGTTTTCAAGGGGTACCCAGCATCTCTTTCTGAAAACAGAGAGGGGTCTGGGATCAGGGTGTCCATATCCAGCGCTTCTGCCTGGCCCTAGAAAGCCAAACAAGTTACTTTCCTGTTAGGTTCCCCAGTGTGCTCATTAGCCCTGGCCAGCCTAATTCTTAAGAGAATAATGGCCATATGGAGGGGACAGTTACTAAGGGCCAGGTATCTCATTAAAGGCTTCATTTAATCCTCAACTGAGACACTCATTTTACAGATGAGGAAACTGATGCTTGGCAAGGATAGGTAAGTTGCCAAGTCATACTGCTAATTAGTGACAGACATGAAATCTAACACAACTCAGGCCTATCTGAATCCAGCCATGCTCTTAACCACTAAGCTACAGTGCCCCAAAGGCTGGGCCACTGTCCCCATGCCAGCCAAACACCCCTCTAAGAAGTCAAGATCTACAGGTGAATAACAGATTATCACCAGAATGGGAAGAGCAGCTAAGCCACCACCAACCTGGGATACGAATCTGAGCCTTTCGTTGATCAAACTGAGGCCCTTTGAATTAATTCAAGTGATCTGGTTCAAGAAAATACTACCGGAAAAACTTGGGGAATCACTGCCAATAATTTTTGAGAAAACATTACAAACAGAGGTTGCTAGAGACTTCAGCTCTGCCAAAGTTCCAATTTTCGAGTCAGACAAGTCAGTGTAACAACAATTAACAAAATTCAAAAGGGGCTCATCGAACATGTTGTCTGACCAGTTACCTAAAATATAATGACCACTAGGTGCCCACAGGAGTTCATTAAAAATAACTTATACCCAAGCAACTTGATTTCCTTTTTTGACAGGGTTACTAGATGGCTGTCACAGACAAACATCTGGATCTTATTAAAGATTCTCATGATATCCCTTAGGATAAGATGAAAACAGTTTATAAAAATTGGAACTAACACAACATTGGGAAGGATAACTAGCATATTCTAGAATCAAGATTTTTAAAAAGCTCTTAGTAAGTTGGAACAGTTGGCTAAAAATAAGCCATTTCACGGAAGACAAAGACAGCTACCAGTTACATCTGCCGGTTTAGCAACTCCTGTGCTGCGTGCCGCTCACCCAAGGGCTGCAAGGAAAAGAAAACATCCTGAAGTGCAATGACTAGCATGCAGGAGACCTGAGCCTAGTCTAGCCTAGTTCTAGAAATAAGCAGCTCCTTGCAAGACAAAAGGGCATGTCTCAAAGCAGTAAGTTCCCCATCAACAAAAGTGCTCAAGGAGCAGCCTGTGGAGATGCTAGAGAGGACATTTAAACTGGGCAGCTGGTCTATTCCACATGCGCTCCAAGACGCCTGGCATTTCTAAGTGTTGGGATATTTCTGCTAAGATTAGAAAAAGAAACCACCGCTTGTTATTCCCTCTATTGAAGACTACCCTGCTGCAGTCAGCATCAGAAAGTTGGGGGAAAGGGAGACTGGTTGAGAAGTCACTAGAAATATGCCTTATCCTCACCTCATCTTGTCAGTTCAGGAAGAAACTTGGTTCCACTTTACTTTTCAACAAAATTGAAAATTTAAAAAATGGGGCAGGGAGGCCACAATCTGATCAGCATTGGCCCCAGCTGCCAGTTGGCTCTGGAGAAACCTGGGGGGCGAGCCCTGCTGCTTCTCAAGCTGGAAACAGGTACACCTTCCTCCCCATCTTCTCCCATGTCCTTTAGTGGTTGGTCCCTTGTCTTGTTTCCAAACTTGACTTCAACGTTTCCTCAAAACCCAGTCGGTCCTGATCATTTTTCATCTTGGCTCAGGCAACTCAATCAGTTATTGAAATGGTGACTTTCAAAACATTCCGTCTCATCTCAATGGCTGGGTGCTTGGAAATAATGCAAAAATATGTAAGGCTCCTTGCTCTGGAGACTCAAAATTCCCCATTAGGCCACTAAAGATTAACCTAAACAAATAACTACTGCAAGTCATACGTGCCACATGACATGATATAAACAAATTATAGGAATCACTTTCCATTTTAATTGTCAAGGATGGCTTCACTGATGGCTTTCAAGTAAGACCTTTTAGGATAAGATAGAGAAGACAGAACTGATTACTGAGGTTGAAAGCAATCTTAGAGGTTGCTTAAGAAAGCAATCTTAGCCTTATACCTTTTATATATAACAAATATGACAGAGTGCACTTTGTGGACCAGGGATGGGGAAATGAGTTAGCAAGTTTCTTCTGACATTGTGAAGTATACTGCCTTTTCAGAAATGCAAAGGGCAGGGAGAAACATCTGAGAATCTAGATATAAAAGATGTTAACAATGTCTTGGGAGGTGGTAGGTGAAAAATGTTTGCCTTATTTTCTAGTAATAAACCATGTAAGGCTTTTATAACATAAAAGAACAAACTCGTTTTGAAACTTGACAAGCCCAATAGCATCCCTTTTTCTCCTATAATGTACTTCGTGGTGTTATGTTAAAACTCTGAAGTTTAGGCAGTATGTGCTGATGATTTCAAGTTTCTTAAGAGAATTTTCTGGCACCCACAGCCTCCAGCAATGATGGGAAAGCAAATCCACCACATAAACAATGACCACCTTCCAACCAAGATGACTAGTCCCAGTTCTCAAACCCATGCCCCTACCACTGTCCCTACTCATCCTATACATTGCAGTTTCGAGCGTTATACATTCTCACCACAGTATCCTCCCTGTCAATGAGACAGTAGGTAATATTTCTGTGTATGACTGGAAACCCTCTACTCCTTCCTTAACCAGCATGTCTTATGGGAGGCCAGATTTTGACACATTCTCAGCTTCAAAAATCTCAAGGAACCTTTTACCCTGTACCAATGGTTCCCAGACTAGAGCCCTTGAATATTGAAGTGATTGAGCAATTTTCAAATTTTCAGAACACTCAACAGAAATCAGTAACGAGCTGCTCAGACTTAAACAGCAGATTCACTATCAACTCAGTGTGGCAAGGCTGTTTATACCATACGGATTGGGCACTCTAAATAGCAATAAACCCAAAGACATGTGCAGCAGTGGGGAGGTAATCAGGAGCTGGGGAACAGAGGTGTGTGTGTATATTTGGAGAGGAAGGAGAATGTCTCAAAGCCAAGGAGACATGATGTACATGCTTCATCATACACGCAAGACTTCTGCACCACTCTGCAGCAGTTCAACGTTCTTTCAATCCGGGTGATTTCTACCACTCACCTGTCTCTTCTGTGTTCCATCCTAAACCTGGCAAGCAAACATAAGCAGTACACATGCCAACAGTCTGGAAGTCACAGAGCAGTATTACGAGCCCATGAGTGGATAAAGCCTAGGGCTTTGTTCCAGCTGACACCACAGGCAGCAGTGGCTCAACAGGTCACTCAGCCCCAGTGGAACTCACTCTGCTTCTTTCTGTAAAATGAGTGGTTTTCAAATTATAATCAAATTCCTCGGGGACTACAGAGAAGGGGTAGGGGTGAGATGTGTGAGAGGCTGAGGGGGCAGGGCCCTGAAGACCCTTACCCCTACCCGAATGTTTTACATATTAGTCTCACATAAAATACCATCTAAATAAAGACTTCTAAAACACAGTTGGAGCTTCTGGAAATCTTCTAAACCAATCCCATCTCCAGACTTAACCATACCAAGTCCAAGCTAACATATTAACATTTACAGAGAACCTTCTAAGTATTATGCATTTTAAATATCTTATTTCTAGGAGATGGGTATTATTAATGTAAACATTAATTCCATGTTTACTGTTCAGAAAACTAAGGCTCAGACAGGTAAAATGACTTACCCAGTCACAAAGTAAGGAAATGAAGATATAATTTGAACCCAACTACTTGTCTCCAAAGCCCATTCTTCTACACCTCACTACCTGTCTTTCCCACCATATTAACCCCATCTCCATCTGTTTCAAGTTCCCCCACATCACTTCTTCATAAACTAAAACTGAAGAGTCAAAAGTGCTTCCTACCAGAAGCGGTTGGTACTCAGACCTAGAGACTACTGGGGAGGAAATGACAAAGGGACACACAGAGCTTCCTCCTGGGCTTGTCACTTCCCACTAATCGCCTTCACTCCTTTAATCACACCTCTTAGGTTTTCTAGTTCTTGCAAGGTCTCTTTTCCCTTTTACCTTCTCCAGAGGTCTACATTTCCATGCAGACTAAATCACAGGCTTGGTACTTTAAATTGAATTCTGGCTGATGGCAGTTTACTTCCCAGTGTTCTGTCGTTTTCCCCTCAACAGTCCTGTAACTACTGTAACTATGGTCTTATGCATGTACCCAGCCCCTTTCTTCTTCTACTCCACTTACACACAACTCCCAACCCTGGATGCCCTTCTTCAGTTACACACTTTGTGCCAGATTTCTGGGTGCGTTCCCAGAGGGTACAATGGGAGAGGGTAAAGAGTATGAAGCAAAGAATCTAATGGGAAAGGTCAAACCAAAGACACATACTATTCAGCTTCCCTCCTCCCAGGCCTCTAAAGCACGCACAAACCCGAGACATGAGTGATGGTTAAAAAAATTTGGGTTTTTATTGTTTTTGCTAAACAATACTAAAAAAAAAAAAAAAAAAAAAAAATCATTTTGAAGGCAGGGCTTGAATTATTTAATTTTGATCCATTTATTTAATTAAAAAAAAAAAAAGGAAGGGGAAAGAGATCATGGCCAAAAAAATAGTTAGCCCCCCACCCCACCCCCGAAGCTCTAGCTCATGAGCATCACATCACCCACACCCCACTCAGTGCCCAATATTCAGATCGGCAGCACACTCTGCCCCACTGGACCACCCTGAAGGCACAGGGCAATGGGTGCCAGTTTTAGCTTTCAGCAGGTTATTCAAATCAGACAAACTGGTGGGCTCAAGTCCAGAAATTCTCTCCAGGTTTTCTGCCCATCGGCTGAGCATATACAAACTGTCATAAGCTTGTAAAACTTAAGGGGGTTGGGGAAGGGCATACGAGTAGAAGGCTGGCAGAAGAGAAACTATGTCACCCAAGCTTTCTCCTGGGATAGTAACTCTGGATACAGACATAAAGAGAGGTCAGGATAGGTGGACTCCATGTTTCTGATGAAAGAAAATCGCCCCTTGAGGGGGAGCTGAGATGTGCCATGCAAAACAGTTCTTCCTGCAGAGGGCACAGGAGAAAGGGCAGCTGACTCCCCCATCTAGGAGACAGGACAGTAGCGCGGAGGTTCTTCTAGTACCATGAAGTAAGACAAAAGGCAGAGGGAGAATCCTGAGGTTTCGGCCACATGTGAGACTGGTGCGCACATAAAGATTAAAAAGCCATCAGGACCCCTCAAAGCCAACTCCCATCTGCACACACTGGCTCTACAAAGCGCTGCAGGAGATTCTTGCTGTGAACTAAGTCAAATTAGTTGCCTGGCTATAGTGGTGGGGAGGGCAATACATTTTTGTTTTTGGAGGGATGAGGTGGGAAGAGTGGCCATGACCTAGTAAAAAGAGACCTGCAAGAAGCAGAAAATATTTAGAGAACATTTTAATATATATTTTCATATATATATTTAAAGTTAAGAAAAATAAAACTAATTCAAGCCATGCCCTGTGCAAAAAAAGAAAAAAAAAAGAAAAAGAAAAAAAAAAGAAAAATTTAAAGTGAGACCTCGTCTGCTGCTCTAGTCTCAACTTAAGTATCACAGTCAGCTTGTTACTTTTATTTTGGAAGAGAGGATGTAAAAGTTTCTTTCAATCATTCAGAAGGCAAGTGTAGCCACTTATAAAAACAGAATGGCAGGGACGGACTAGGAAAGGAAAGTCAGAGTTGAAAGGGTACAGCTGGACAGAAGTTTTCAAAAATAAAATTAACAAGGTGACTGTTCCAGAAGGGGGCTGTGAAAAGGACATGGTGGACCGAAGTCTGTTAGTCAAGTAATGATTCAACTTTTAAATTATTCTCTTGTTCTTTTTTGTTGGGTGTTTTGTTCAAGTCTAAGATTTGGAAATGCTGACCCTTTGTTAGCAAGAGCCAACAGGAAATATAGGATCCCTTCCCTCCCCCGGCCTGCCTCCGCTGAAGCCACCACCATTGCCTCCTTGGCTGGATGCTGGAAGAGTCCTCCGTGTGTGTGGACTCAGGATGACAGGGTAGCCTCCTTCTGTGGTTGCTGGGCTTGTGAACGCTGCAGTATCTTTTGGCTTTCCACGTCTCTAAAATGTTTTTCAACCTGAAAGAGACCAGTCAGCCTAGGTCAGAAAAGGAGATGGGCACCCAAGGCCTCTCACACAGTCCATTCCAAGCTTCCACAGCCCCATCCTGGCCCATCAGCCCACAGACCATTCAGGCCCTTGCTGTCTGTTGGCCTTTCCAGCAAAGAAGGAGGGGGTCTCTTTTTTGCAGCTTCAGCTAAGATGGGCTAAAAGAAGGCGAATCTATAAACTAAAACAAATTCAAGAGAGATTATTATGACCCGAGCTCCCTCTCCCCTCTTCACACAAGCACGGAAAGGAAGGCTGGTGGGGAATTACAATCTTAAAACTTTTTATATCCACAATGCTGGTCTTTCAATGCTCAGTTTGTTTGTAAATGCTGCAACTCAACCCAAAAAGTCAGAAGACATATGCAGGGTCAGAGGCGCCACTGGCAACTGATTTATATCAATCAGCCCTTCCTGACAATTACCCAGTCTGGGATGAGAGGAACTGCTCAAGCCCAATACCATGGAATGGTCTGGCTAATTCCAAAACGCCACACTGCGGGGGACCACACTGCGGCTGACCACTCGCTTTATTCCACACTGCCCAGTCGTTCCACACCCACAGGTCCAGGCCACAGCTGCAGGGCACCACACTGCAGGGCAGCGGGCTGGCCATGTCAAAGGAGGCAGGGATTGCAGCACACTGTCCTGCCTGGTGCTGGACGGTGAAGGCCGAGGAATCCTCTCCCTACAGTTGCAAGGCTCCTGTACTTACTATTTTGCGTACATGGCTCAGTGCACTCCCCTCTTTGCCTTTACAGTTTTCCACTTGATATGGGGGTGTAATAACAACTTCTTCCATGACTACGATGTTTTTTTCTTGCCATTTACAGTCTTTAATGCTGGAAGGAGAAGAGAGCAGGTAAAAGTTACCACTTGTGGGGCATCCCACACCTCCTGCTGACCCCAAGTTCCCAGCTCACTGCTAACTAGTTGCCAGCAGCTCACAGGGAGGAGGAGCCAAGAGACATTTCCTGGGCACCACTGGCTAGGAAAAGCAGTGGAACTGATGCACATTTACTCTGAGGAGGGCCCAGAAGAGTTACTCTTAAGTATTAGGGACCTGGAAACCATAGAAAGCTTACCCCGGAAGTCCCAACCAAACTGAGTTAAAAATAAACAGCTAGGCCCAGGCCACTAGATTCAACTTAAGTAGTAGCCAAGGGCAAAGGTTGGCAAACTTTATGTAAAAAGGGTCAGATAGCAAATGTTTTACACTATGCAGGCCAGAAAATCTCTGTCACAACTACTGAACTCTGCTGCTGTACCACAAAAGCAACCACAGATAACATAAAAATAAAAACAAGCAAATCTGGCCAGTTTGCCAATCTTTGGCCTAGGGGGAAATGGCACCTTTAGAAAGACAGGAAAATAAATTCTCATTGTGATGTACATCTTACTTGTGATGTACTCTGCCCACCACCTGAAATAGAAACTACTCCTCAAGCTGGCCCCTCCCAATTATCTGACAGCTGGGCACGTGCCAGACTGGGAAAACCCATTCCATTCCAGTTCACACTTGGGGAACCCCAGGGCAGCTGATACTACTAAGAGAGTTCCTTCACATACCTGTAAATGTTCAGGTACTCATACCATGGCCTCAAACAGCCCTGATGCCAGCTGCCATCTGTGCACCAGACCCAGGTGGTTAAACAGGGTAACAGAAGGCCGTGGGGGGAGTAGCAGGGGCGGGGGGGGGGGGGGGGGAATTGTCAAACGCTTCAGTTTTTCAGCTACTAGGGAAGTTAGTGGAGAGTCAAATGACTTCTGCTGTGACAAAACGTCTTTTAGGAGGTGGTAATAAGGCGGCCTTCTGCTCTCCCTATGTTCATCCCAATATACAACTGAGAAGAGTGAAACAGATATATCTTTCCTTAATAAAACTGCGTAAGCTTTTAGAGAAAGGTACAACAAGATCAAAATAATAAAAGGCAAAGAAATCACTGGTTCTAAATTACGGCATACTAGATCTGGAGGGAACCCTTAGGGATAATCTAGTTCAAAGCTAAGTCTTACAGGTGCAGAAACTGAAGCCCAGAGAAGACAACTTGCCCACGATTACAAATCACTCTTCTGTATGGAAAGGCTCAGGCATCCACATCCCTAGATGCCGAGGTATTACCAACACACTACCCAGCTTCCCTGGCGACTTTCAGGAACACAACTACCCAAGAGTTGGCCACTAGACAGCACAGCCAGGCAGCATCACCCCCAGGACAAGGGACCCCTACGCTCCCCCAACTCACGTCTTGTGAATGGTCTGGAAGAGCTGCTGGCCCTCTAGGGAGACACCAGCGCTGATTGCATAGGCCTGGCTCAGCTTCTCCTCCTTCTCTGTCCGTGCTTTGCTGGCAAGCTAGGGTGGGGGAGAGGAAAGAGACTCAGAAAAGCATTCAGCTTCATTCTTCCCAACAGGCAGGACCTAAGTTGAGGAAAGGAGGCTGGAAAAGACTGGTTTGGGTAGGTTCAGTTT